AAACTAAAGTGTAAGCATGGAATGAAATAATATTGAACTATCTATTGACTTTTATAAATTTCAAGAATGATAAAATTCAAACACATGGGGTCTACATATAGTAGTTGGAAAGGATGTCAAAAGATACAACCATACCAAGAGTCACATCTCTTGGAATTCATAATTATTGGAAAATTATTATGCCAAAGGTCATGACTGTTCATATGAAAATAAAGCTTTTCATCCAACTCTTTTCTAGAATATTTCACAATATTCTATACAATTTTCGAACAATTTCAAGTATTAAGCGGCTTACATTTGACTTAATTTCTCAGTCACCAAATTAAGAATTTCACTTAATAATCATGTAAAATTGGTCACAATCAATTTTCGATACAAAATTCCAACAATGAGCAATTCCAATATGCAAAATCGGATGCCAGTGTGATTGAAGTTCTTTTACCTTGGAATTGCATATGCAAATCTTCAGCAAATATTTTGTTTCATTTTTTGATGAAATACTTTATGGAATGCAATTCTACTATGTTTTGAACCCATTTTGGTGGCAAATTTTGAAGGTACCAAAATCTAGATAGTGATATAGCCAATATTCGCATATCCCAACCATTGGAATCCAAGGATACAAAAGGACTTTATTCATGATTCCATTTACATCATGATCGGGCATTTAAATAGTCCTCAGTGTTAAGGGAATAAATCCCACATCGATTAAATACCGAAATATTGACTAACTTCAATAGATCTTGGGCCACTCATCTTAATAAGGTTGACCTTATTAAGATGGACCCCAAGTCTTAACATGGTATCAGAGCTTAGTAAGCTCTAACGAGCTATTCGATCCGATTAAGTCTAAAAAATAAGCACACGGATTTCAAGATTAGTCTGCTCAAAAAGAGCCACCATCTTGAGGGGGCATGTTAAGAGAATAAATCTCATATCGGTTAAATACCGAAATATTGACCAACTTAAATAGATCTTGGACCACTCCTCTTAATAAGGTTGACCTTATTAAGATGGACCCCAAGTCTTAACGCTCAGGGCCTATGCATATGCTCGAGTTCTATTATTACATGATTACGATATTTTGTGACGACCATCCTCAAGATATGTGAACTACTTAGAGAATTGATGTCCTCAAACCCTTTCCTTGACCAAACTCAAGACCATTTCCCTTGACCAACTCATGACCATTTCACTTAACCTAAAAGGATTATTAGTTTCCTAGAATCCTAACCCTATCCAAACATCACAGCCCAAGACTCCTATGCCTAGGAGAACTCTAGCTCAACAATATTATCATTAAAATTAGACTAGCCCTACAATTATAGTACAATTCTCACACCCATCTCAAGTAGGACTCTTGAAGATAAGGAAACTCGATTTAGAGCTATGATACACTTCAGAATTTCATTCACAGATACACAGTTGCCATTTTTCATTGGCAGTTAGTAAAATAGAAAAAAGCTGTCAATCAGTTGCTACGTTGTAAAGATTATGTGAAAACAATTCTTTACACATAGCTTTTTTCATTGATTTATCCTACTAGGAGTGCACTACTTTATCCTACCAAGAGTGTATTACCTACTTGTATAAATACAAAGCATTGGATCATTACTCTTGTACGCTTTTATATAAATTTTCAGTTTACAGCATCACGCATAAATTTCTCTCTAACTTAAGTATCAGAAGGACAATGAGGACACACCTTGGCAGTTTTGCTTCAGGTGTTGAAAGATCTTGTGTTTGTTGTCAGACATCAATCTCGAAAATTAACAAAAATGATTTTTGGTAGCAACAAATAGAAAACAGGAGGAAAGAAACAAGAATTCTTCTTTCCAATTCACAACTTAAAGATAATTTTTTTTTTTTTTTTGAATTTTGAACAAATGAAAAGAAGGTGGCAAAAGAGATTGTTTGATAGATTAATAAAGGGGGATCAAAATTTTAGAGCTAGTTTTTAATTAGTTTACAAATGCTTCTAAGTTGATTGATAGATTAATTTACACAATTAATTATGATAATCACTCAAACACGAATTGACTATTTGATTAGATTTATTATTAGCCGGAACAAGATTAAATACTTAATCTTTGAGGGAACTATATTTGATTTACACTTTATTACTTGGATTTGATACCACAAACTTGCAAAATTTTAGTGCTCAAGTTTTGTATGCTTTTGTTTGGACAAGAGTATTTAGTTAGTTTTAGTTAATTATAATTTTAATCTGAATGTTTACTATTTTATTTTAGTTTTAATCTACACTTATAAAATTGCACTATTTCCCGTGTTACTTTTCTAAATAATGTAAACAAAGCTATCTTGCCATATTTGATCTAAAAATTGCATTGTGTTTGAGCCCCATTATTTGACATCATAATGAGATCAATATATATATATTTTTTAAATATGTGGTTGAAAATTTTTTTATTTACGTGTAATATTATTTTATTAAAAATTGTGTAGTTAAAAGTAGGAGAGAGAAAAAATTTAACTTAATGTAATAAGAAATAATGGGGCCGAAACGGGGACATTCAAATTGAGACAAAGGAACAATGAGGGTTGTCAATCGATCCAACCGTCGACTTGCTATTGGATGATGTGTAAGAATGCCTAGTGGACCTATCACTTGACCCACTAGAGTAATCCTCACTTGGCCCATTGGAGACTAGTACCAGGTGTAATGATGATGTTATACATTGAAAATCACATGTTAATTGTTATGTAAATGTGAGAGAAGATTGATCATTCGAGGGAAGAATAAGTAGATAAGATTTGTCAGTTGATCAAAAGCGTTTCAACTAGGTTAACATTTAAATTAAAAAAAAAAAAGGAAAAAAGAAAAAACGAAAAAAAGAAAAGAAATTTTTTTTGTACATCAAGGTATTCCACACTCACATGGGATGGGGTCCGCTCGAATAAATTTTCCATCTAATCATTGGACCCATTTGGACGGTAAATGAATCACCTCAAATGGCCCGTAAGGGCACACCACGTGGTGCTACTCCTCTATGTTATGATAGTTCTCATCGAGGAGCATGTGGCTTATGAAACTAGGAAAGGAAATGAGACATATTGCATAGAACGATAGTGTGCGTGTATATCTGCTAGGCAAGTTGAGAGTTAACTGAGTTGATCTATGTCTAGCATGTAGGATGATCAATGTCAGTGAGTATGAATTGGTCGACCAACCCTCTTATGATAAAGTCCTCCTTCAAGTACTCTCAAGGTTCCAGCATGCATAAATTTTGTCGACTAACCAACGTCATAATGTAAATTGGTTGAGCGAGATATGCAGATCCCTTTTGATTTAACAAATCTAGTCTATCCATTACGGATACTTGACCCTAGATATCTCCGTTATTCAAAGAAAGGACTATGACATCTGGCAGTCTTATCCTAACAAACTTGCTACATCAGCAAGGAAAACATCTATAAATATTAAGTAGAGACCTCTCATCAAAGGTATAATTCTAATGATGCATAGATCCTCATCTTCCTTACACAACCCAAATCTATTATTCCCTCTCCACTAATTGCCATGCTTCAATAAAGATGGGAGAGGAAGTCTAAAACAATTTCCTGTATGTTTCTTAGCAACTGGATTTTAGATAACCACCACTAGTAGGAAGGAACAGTGACTATATAGTTTCACTGGGAGTACAACTCGAAACCTAACGAACTACATTTCATGTGACATAATCAAACCTTTTCATTATACGTCTATGTAGTACTTCTTTTGCTCACGGTTACATTCACAAATTTGAAGGAGATTGTGTGAAACTTTATCATACCCCAAATCTCTAGAAGTCCATATCTTTCCTTAATGCAACCTTGATTCTTTTTCGTATCCCCAATCTAAGAAGTGAAACTCATTTATTAAACCTTTTGGATGCTTGAATCATCTTTTAAAGCGCACATTTTGGCATCAATGGTAAGTCTTACATAATTCATTACTCAAGCACAGACTTTTCCAAACAAAGCATCAAAACATTTTTGTTAAAAAATTAAAAATTTATATGAATCTCATTCTAAGAACTTGTTTTAGGATGCGTATTTAATTTTTTCTAAACAAAAGGATTAGATAAAAAAAAAAAAAAAATCAAAATGTCTAAAATTTGAATTCCAATTATTTGGCATGAAATACTAACAAAGTTAAAACATGATAACAAAAGAGCTTGTATTTCACTACAAATTAAAGAAACATAGTTGTCTTCTCATCTTTATATTTTCCATTGAATTATGAACATTTTTATTTGACAAGGTAAAGAATCTGATTATTAGACTCGATATCGCTTCCTAGCACACAATAAGGAATTTATGATTTATGTAGTTAAATTCAAATGTCCACCTCCCGTATGTATGTACCCTAATTATCTTTTATTTGGTAGGGGCGGTGAGGGACCCTAAAGATTGGAGTTCAACCTAATTATCTTTTATTTATAAGAGACATGATCGGAGAATTCAAATCTCCGTTGGATCTTGGTGGGGGCCCTAACAACCTCTAAATTACAAACTATCGACATGTACGTGTACGCCCATAGCTTACAAAGTCAAAGAGCAAAACCAAACACCTTTTGACTTGCAGTTCTCTCTTATCACACATTCCCTTTCAAGAAAGAGCCTAATGTGATTTGTAGCGAAAAAGTACGACATCCACTAAGGCCTAAGCCGAAGATTATTTTCTTCTAAAGATTCCTTAATCACTTCCACTTTTTCTCTATTCATGGCGCTCTCTCTCTCTCTCTAACCTTCAAGTAAAAGCTTAGAGTGTATAATGATCTCCCAGTTAAAAAGTAAATAAAAATTAGATATTTTCGTTTGACTTTAGGCCCGTTTGGGAGTGATTTTCTCCCAAAAAATTGATTTTTTGACCGTTGTTTCATCATTTCAATAGTAATTTTTTATTTCTTCTTTAACATATGGTCCCTTATTTTTCTCCTAATGGTCAAAAAATAAATTTGCAAAATTACTACCAAACAGGTCCGTAGGAAACAATCTAAAGATCATAATGAAACCTTTCAACTGTTAATCATCTTAAAGTAATTACATTGTAAGAGGTAAACGACGAAGAAAACAAAAACAATTATCACCTGCTAACACTATTGAGGAAAAAGTAAACCGGGTTTTCGAACTTTCTAATCCGATTTCAAGCAAAGAATAAGCTACAATTATGACGTTCACTCACGAAATAAATTACGGAGAAATTAAAATTGATAATCGCTTTTTTCTACTTCCATTTCTTGCACTCAGTCGACAGTGCTAATCCTCGTCGTTTTACTCCTTGACTATCTTTTGTTATATATTTATGGTATAAATATAAAATGTGAAAGAAATAATCAAATTAGATAAAGTGCCAAAGTGGTGGGAAATGTGACATTTGTGTGGGACGTCAGGGGTTCGAATCACTCCCCACGCAAATATTAAAATGTCTTGATTTGGGCCTTGGGCTTCCTTGACTAAAATAAATATTTTTTTTTTTGGTTATTTAATTGGTAAAACTAACCAGTATTTTATGACTGTTGGTTTTGTAACAACCCACTAACTGCGATTAAAACACCCACTACTCAGTCATTAAAATTCTGCATTAACATGGTGAAGACTGTTACTACCATCTTGCCTATATAAACCCATGTCTTGCTTTGGGAAAAGACACACAAAAAGAAAATAGAATCAATCACTCTTTTCATATTGTGAACTTCTTATATTCGGGTTTTTATACCTATTCTGGAGTACAATTGAGAGTTCTAGAAAAACCATTCGTGATTGCTGCATAAGTGGTTTACGATCGTTGTATCCTGGGAGTGATTGTCCACGGAGGTCACAGCAATTATTGACGGGCAATTTCACTTTAGGACATCGTGCTGTCACGAGACTCGATCGATAAGTTTTATATTTCTGCATTATATTGTTCTGATCACTGCTGCAACTAATTATTTTTCCAACATCTTTTCCCCTCGGATTGGGGCGTGATCCGCTCTTGTATAATTTGATTGACGAGTCAAACATCTCGGCCACCTATTTCAACGAAGTGTCACAATCCACTGGTTGTGGATTCGCATTTTGTTTCAATAATTATAATCCAAGAAGTATGTAATAGACTAGTGTGATTGGCAATGCAATCAACATTCCAAATATAACCCTGTCATTGATAATAAAACAATTGAAAAATGAATGTGTCAGTATATGAAAATATTAAATAGCTAATTCTGGATGAAATTCATTACTTACGCAGTGCTAAGAATGGCTGGATGAACATTGTATTCTTTAGCAAACACAAATGGAACAATCCCTTGTGGAAGTGCGGCCTAGCATTTGATAAGAAATACATCAGAGAACTCAACAAAAATACTTCAGATGTTCCGAAATGAATTTTCGACAACTTGGCATATTGCGTTTGAAATGATGCTTCTCATTTGATAACAAAAGTTTTATTGCGAGATGTGAAAAGTTTCGGCCATTGACGAGACGATAGTAGAGTTAACGATGATTTACCTGTACGATCGCGACATGGAGTAGAGTACCACGAAGGCCAATAGCGAAGGAAGCTGCAGCCATTACTGCTGGGCCAGCGAAGAACCTCACTGCCATGGAGAAAGCAGCTGCCTTGTTCCCGCATGCTATTATCTTCGGTTGAAGTGCCATAAACAAGCCTGTTATTTCTCATAAATTAACAGATATATTATATACTCGATCTCCTTAAAGTAGTTAATAGAAAAAAATAACCACAATCAAATACATATAATTCTCAATGTACAATAACAAAAAGTCTGTCTCGATGTCTATTAAACTCCTGCTAACTTTGCAAATATGCACCAGCATTTGAGACACTCATTTATCTCAATTCTTGGTACCACAACCAGACATTTTTCCACTTGGCCCCATCTGTTGGCTTTTCAATTTATTCATTCCCCGTGACATTTTGGGTTACATAAAATTATATTATTTTTAGGGTTATGCTACAAGTATCAAATGGTTTACCGAATTGATAAGTGGCGGTCCTGTCTATTTTCGCCACTGATCAATTCGATAAACCATTAGGTAATCTATTTGGTACAAGTAGATTAATATTTATTTTTATACCTCCAAACACATACAATGAATATATGTTCAAATTAAGTATATATCTGGTTGACACGATGAACTCTGCAGTGTATTAATGACTTACCTAAGCTAAACATAGCCATTCCAAGGCCAGCATCAGAGAGTATGGAGATTGACCCTTGTACAATCTTAGGCATATGCACATCCCACCTGAAATTAAACCACGAAAGCTCATTAGTCAGTCAAAATTCATTCAATCAATCTAAATCAAATGTCTAGTAATTTCAACATTTTTAATATTAGTTTACCTAAACGAGACTAGCGACCATATTAAACCAATGAGACTTGAATACGTGTTAGGATTTCGGATAAGTTTTCGCCACACCATAATCAAAATTAGTCGAGTCATGACACTAGCCGGTGGCATATTGCTTACGGCGCTGGGAAATTGACCTTGGACAACACGTGGTTGTAGCTGGACCGTAGGATTGTTGCTCAGTTTGGACAGCTCTGTGGGACCATCCTTTTCTCTCTCCTCTTCTGCATGCTCTCTACCTCGACCACAAAAATCCCCAGTTTGGGGAATGGCTTCATTTAAAAAAGAAAATCAAACACTAAACTATACAGTATTAAAATGCATCAGTTCATAATAAAACGTAACAATGGAATGGAATCTACCTTTAGTTTCCCCATTTTGAGGGTTATCAGAAACAAACAACTTGATTTCCTTGGATTGCTCGGAAGCACTGAAATCGGGTCCACCGAGCACGTGATGCCCACCTCCTTCCGACACCGGCGATGTGCTCGAGCTCCACACCAACATGTGAAGCTCCTTAGAATCATGGTTCGCCTTGTTACCCGGTTTCTGGGACCGTGGCTGAGGCTGCGACTGCAGTTGCTGCTGATGGTTTTTTGCAGTTTTTGGAACAGCTGAAGCACTATCGAGATTCGGAGCCGGATGCGAAGTGAAAGGCAATGATGGGCTCGTGAGAGGTCCAGGTGCACAGTTTTCCTCAAAATTTGACGTCCTCGGAGTTGGACCTCTAGATGATTGAACTGAGTACATATCTGTGACATTGAAGTTCGAAAATCTACCTGTATCGGACTGACCAAAATTCGATAGTCTGCCTGGAAATCCCATCATCGAGCATAAATCGGAATGATTAAAATTAGACCCCCTTGGAGTCGAACTCAAACTGTAAATTTCAGCTCCTGTAAGATTCGACGGCCGAGGGGTCAATCCTGAGAATGAACCATGTCCAAGTGACCTCCTTGATGCATTTGATTTCCTCACAGTTACATGAAGCTTGCCATCATTACCTAACTCAGCATCTGTTTCAAGAAAATCTTGTCCATCTAAAGAAACAACATCCGACTCAACCTTAAACGACACAATTGAAGCTGCGGTCTCAGGGAACTGCTCCATGATGAGCATCTTGGCACCGCGATACTCGAACAAGAAGAGCAAAAGCGTGTACCAAATGATGCACTGTAGCACCACTATTTGTACCATAAGACTACCCGAGCCCTTATCATACATAGCAATCAACAAAGGAATGCCCATCACGAGAGTGTTAGGCAGTGTGGAAAGTGAAAAAATTGTTATAGACCATTCAAGACTGCCATTTTTGGTTAAATTAGCCCACAAGCCAAGAATCACAAGCATTATAAGTTTCTGAAGTGTATCTGCAGCGATGAACCGGAAGTTCATGGCATAAGGATCATTGTTCGAAATGAAGTGGAAAGAAAGGAGAGGCACCGCGAAAATGGCGACAAATCTGTTGATGCCGGAGCACTGGTCCGGGGTGAATATTTTCCACCACCGGACGGAGCCATAGGCCAAGATCATGGCTACATAGAGAGGAATTACAGCAGTTAAGACGACATAAAGATCATGCCAACTTATCATTTTCGTCAGTTGAAGAAGGAAAAAACAACTAGTAGCACTTTTATATGGCTTGTTTTTCAAGATTGGGAGGATATATGGAAAAGATGAGGACTAGAATAGGGAGAAAAGGCTGGGGGGCAAATGGAAAGAGAAGTAAGTACTTCAAGATAGAAAAGTCGAGGGGTGGGTATTGCATAGGGTACGGTGCGATGTGGTCAGAGTGGCGTGGGGTGAGTTTGAGTCTTGATATTACAAATACGTCCCCTAAAATATTCTACCTTTAACTTTTTTATAGATTTTTTTCATCGAAATAAAAATATACCAAATGCTCACAGTATGCCTCAGAACTTTGTTCCAGTTTAAAGCGTTTTAACCTTTTAATATCAGTTCAAGTAATTTATAATTTGTTTGGTTCCAAGTTATGCCCTGTTTGATGGGAATTAAAATTAGAATTTTAGTAATTTTTTTGGAAAAGTTAATAAAATGCGTAATTGAAAAGTTGTATATTTTATAAAATATGTGATTAAAATTAATTGTTAATTTTAATTTAAGTTAAAATTTTAATTAATTTAATCTCTACATAACGGTTCTCTCTATACAAAATTAATTTTTAATTACATGTACATTAAAATTTTAATTAATTTAATCCCTACGAAACAGGTCTTCTCTATACAAAATTAATTTTTAATTACATGCAATAGGAAATATCTTGAGTGAATTATTCAAATAGTCATTGAACTTTGCAAAAAATTTTCACGGAGTTACTGAACTTTAAAAAACACTCAATTCATCATTGAACTTTGCAAAACATTTACATGGAGACACTTGACTTTAAAAATCAGCACATTCATCACTAAACTTTGCAAAAGATTTATACAGGGTCACTAGGAAACCTTTTGCAAAGTTCAGTACTGAATTAAGCGATTTTTAAAGTTCAGTTATATCGTGGAAACTTTTTGTAAAATTCAATGATGAATTTGATTATTTTTAAAGTTCGATAACCCCATAAAATCCTTTTACAAAGTTCAATAATCATTTGGATAATTCACTCGAAATCTCTTAAAATGGAACTTAAAGGAGTAAGCGGTGCTTTTTAAGTACTTTTCCATCTATATCTATATAATAGTAAAAGGAAGAATTTTGAGTGCTTTTATAATTAGACAGTATCTTTGTCTTTATGATACAATTATTCAAGTTGAAGAAGATGCCAGTGCAAACACACATAAAAGTGTTATGAAATGATCATACAAAAGCCCCCATTTGAGCCTCGTTTTTTTCACGAAAAATGAATTTTGTAGTAGTTATTTATTTATTATTATTATTATTATTATTTTAAGATTGTATGTTTGAAAAGTAAGAAAAGATTTTTGGTTTACGTATAATCATTTTACAAAAAAAAAATAAAATAATAATAATAATAATAAAAGTGAATTTTTATATAACAAATGTCAAAATGCATAAAATAGTTTGTTTGACATGACTTTTGCTTCATTTAAAAGAGTTTTTAGATGAGGCCATCGTAGGCCCTATTTGAGTTTCATTATTTTCTTATTAAATTAAAAAATATGATCGTTATTTATCACATCAATCCACCATATTTGACTTTTTATTTCTTGTGTAGGGCTCATAACGACTATATTTTCCATTCTCGTTTTTACAATAATGTGATTCAAATGGAGGCTTAATATTTAGTTGAAAATTAATTAAAAAAAATTCCATTCTGAAAGCTTTTTTTTTAAGAAAAATCATATTCGACTAACTTCCTTTAAAAGTTATTTTAACTAAAAAAGCCTTTCATAAAATTAATCAATAGACTTCAAAATTGATTTTTGAACTTCAAAATCACTTTTTAACTTTTTAAAAGTCATGCTAACAAATATGGAGCCTGTTTGGGCCCGATTTTTTCATTCAAAAAATTGATTTTTTGATCGTTATTTCACTATTTCAGCCGTTATATTTGACTTCTTCTTTCACAGGTGGACTCCACTTTTTTCCTAACGGTCAAAAAATCAATTCTCAAAATCACTCCCACACAGGCTCATGGAGGGATGTGAAGTTGTTAACGTGGCCAATACTAGATGGCACGTACGAATTGAATTGAACATAAAAATCATTTATTGACCTCTAAAAATCTCTATCATAATGTTTACTGATAGCTTTAATTTATAAATAATCAATTTTACAGCACCATCACTTATCTCTTTGTCCTTATTCTCCATTATTGGCCACTTCAACGTTAACTTTAAAAAATCAAATCTCAATTTGTGCATCATTCTTAAATATCTTTATTTTCTCAATGATTATATATGCTTCTTTATGTTTCTTTAATAATTCCTTAAATCATGACTTAAAATAGTCACATGTCAATATTTAAAACCTGGAATTTATCTTTCGTGTCACCCCTTTATATAACAAACTAGATTAGATAGAATTAGCCCCATTTGTTTATTATTTTTTATCCATTAAAATGAAAAATATGACCGTTATTCATCACATCAAGTCACCGTTTTTAACTTTTTATCTCTTGTGTGAGGCTCGTAACTGCTATATTTTTCATTCCCATTTTTACATTAATGTGTACCAAATGGTTGTAATCTTATATGCTGAATACAGGAATATTAGGAAACGTTGGATTTACTATTTTCAATTTTTAAATTGTAAAATATTCAAAACTTCTTTAATTTGATATTTTTGAAAATGCACATTTCATAACAAGATTAAGGACCTATTCGGTAGTGATTATGAGAATTAAATTTTTGACCATTAGAGAAAAAATGGGCCCCACCTGTGAATGTAGAAGTAAAAAAATGACGGCCGATTTAGCGAAGTAACAGTCAAAAATTGATATTAAATTTAATCTAATATTAAAAACACATTTTTGACATTTTGCATGGAAAATGAAAGCAATCCGAATTTACATTCTTTGATTCCAGAGACTAGGAAAATTTATATATAAGATCCTGATGAAACTTTCAAAGAACTCTTCACATACAAAATTTATTTGTAAATTGCGGTCAACCTTGAACTTTCAAACTTATTTCAATTTGGTCAATGCTTTATGATTTTCTTCCGATTTTGATCACTTTTCATCCTAGTCTTCAATATTGATGTTGAAACTTTTGAAAGCATCAACGTTTTTCCTCGAATCTCAATAATTTTCAGAAATTGGTACTCCTCAAGTTCTAAAAATGTACAATTTAGTCCCCAACATTTCTATAATTTGAATTTCACTTATCAAACTTGCGACTTTCCTCTGATTTCTTCCTTATTGTTTCTTATTAATCTCATGCAAGCTGATAAGCCTTTATTTGCTTCGGTTGAACTCCAATTTGGGCAAAAATCGTCAGGTTTAGGTTTGCTCTAAATAACTCCAGTATGGATTTTACCTATAATAAAATTTATTAAACTATATTAAGTAGAATTTACCCAAAATTTCAAATATAATTCAAGTTTTAAGAACAAATACACGTGAAAAATATAATTATCATTTCCTCCAATATCATATAAAGAAAGATAGCTAAAAAATGATGTTTTGATTAGGAGTGTGCATGTAAATGTGGAAAATACTGATAACTATTCAATGACTCATATATGATTCTATGTGCTGGGTTTTTTGAATTCCGAGCGATGATGTTAAACAGTGTTGGATAGTCGGATTAGATTTCATAGGTTTCGGCCGATGATTGAAATATTTATTAACACACTCGATTAATTGGCTCAACCTGAAAAACAACTTGAGGGTCGTTTGTAGCAGCTTAATATAGTTAATGTTGCTCACGGCCCATTTACTTCTTGGATGGCTCAATTTGTGTTCCGCCCTCTTTAACCATTAGTTGGTCCATGAGCCCACTATATTATTACACTCTAAACCTATATATTGCTCTCATTTGTTAAATGAGCCGTGTGTGTGCAATTGAAAAGAGGCAGCCGACATTTTCTCTAGTTTTCTCTCTTGAGCCTTAAAATTGAATCTGTCTTCCTCTATTCTTGGTGATTCATTGCAGCCACCATATTGTGTTCTTTGTGAACACATTGAGTGGAGCAACCGAAGTAATAATCCTTGTTTGGGTTGGAGCCATTGTTGGATGTGTTTAATAAGGTTGAGATTGGTGAAACTGAGCTCGAAAAATCCACCATCAGAGGTCGATTATTCAACATTTGGTATCAAAGCGAGGTTGGGGTGGAATTTTCGGCCAAAATCCGACCAGAAACCGACCAGAAAATCGGTAGAAAACAAAAAATCGGACTGCCCAGTTTTTTCACTAAAAACCGCACCTGGAAATGCAATTTTCCGGCGATCCAAACATCTTTTGGTGAAATGGAGACTAGGGTTGAGACGTGCAGATGGAGGCAATTCTGGGTGTGTGGCGCGTGATTCCGGCGGCGGCACGTGGCTTCTCTGGCGGTGGCGTGTGTGGGCGCGTGGGGCCGATTTTGGGAAAGCTGTCTTCAGGCAGTTTGTTCATCATATTATTCCTAACATTTTTCGTGTTGGAAGTTTAATGTTTCATGTTACACAGAAAAAGTTGGACGATTTTGCCCCTGGAAATCGAACTGCATTTCTTGGTAGGCTGTACTGTTATATTTGCTGAATCTTTAAGACGGATAGTGGTGGTCCTAAGGTAGTAGATTCGCATCTCTCTCGATTATATGGACTCAAACATGTCTGCTCTGGTAAATTGGCTTAACCCGTTAATTTCAGCATTCGCACATCACCGTGTGGGGTGACAATATGTTGGGGGTTGTCATTGCTTGGCAGCCATTGTTTGTACTAGAAATTAGGATCACTTGATCTTAATGGTTGCGATTGAGTACTTATTTTTGGATAAATTAACGTATTGTGCTTTGTGCTAAAATTGTCATGAAATTTCATTTGATTGGATATACCTATTTTGTTGCATCATAAGTTTCGCTGTATTGTTACTTTCGTTAGAATACCTAGACCTTACCCGTTCAAACTTTCCCTTGATCTAAGACCGCGAGTCTTGCGAAACCCTGAAAATCTAGAACGGTGTATATTGCGGCCGTAGTATTACTTTGTGTGATCTATTTGCCTAATTGATTGTTTCATTTTTCAAAGATGTCTTCACATTTCAAAGTTGGTATTTTCAATAGAAAAGGTGATTTTTCAATCTGGCAACAAAAAATGAAGGGTATTTTAGTCCAACAAAAGGTTTCAAAAGCCATTGAAGGTAATTTTCCAGC